CTTTCATTTCCTCAACGCCGTTTGAAGCACCCAAGTCCACATCTCACACACACCCCGACACAGCTGAATGGCTAGCACCCCAGCAGGCCCCAACAAAGGCAACCGCAAGAGCTAAACGCCACAACAGGCCCGGCCAAGGACACCCTCCAACCCAAACACCACTATGGAGTCCCAAGCAGAAACTACAATACAATGATATGACAATACTTGAAATGTGGAAATTTCCCCTTGCTTGTCAAAGATGCGATCGACCCGAATTTTTGTTTGCCTTTTCCTTTTTTCACATGCAGAGGATATCCCCCGCTCTATCTTTTGGGGCCTTCACCTAACACCAGGTCGTTCGCTGCTAGATGAGGCCTTCTACCAAGGCCCCACTACTCATTTGCGCATCAGGGGACAAATGTTCGCATGTCGTTTAGAAACAAAAGGCGAAATGAACCACCCATTCAGCGCTTCGCCCCAAATGAATTGTATCTCTTCTTTACGAACACATAAACTTCCCCTGGTTCCAACCAAACTACCCCGCACCCTCTTCCAGAGCACAAGGGTTAACATCGGACTAACCACATCCCAAAGAAATACCAGCCACTTCCGCTCCACAGCGCAGTGACAGAGCGAAAATAGGAATGCCTAAAGTTCTACATGGAACTGGGATGGCAACCGGCAAACTGAACACCACATTTGAAAACAGCCATTCCCTTGCAGCAAGGCTATATCATGGCACCCGGCATGGTTACTTCCAATGGTTATTTGGCTTCACAGCCAGCCTCTGATTCCATGCACTAGTCCGCTGGGCACCGCTCTTAAGCCTGGCCAACGAGCTTATGTACGGTGAACTGTTTCCAGCACGAATGATTTGAAGTATCTGCCAATTGCTGTTTAGACATCTGGATGCATTCAGCCACTTCCATCCAAACCAACCAAGCATATGCAGCACCCGATTCAAAGTCGGTCAGGACAAAAGCATGCACATCCAGACTGCCATTTCTGTGGTATCACATTGCTGCCTTCCACGCCCACTTTCCCTCTTATTGCTAGACCGAACTATGAATCAAAACAGCCCACCTGCAATCCCCAATTCGTTGACGCTGGGGGTACCGTCCACACCACTGAACGTGGCATTGTCCAGTGGTGGCCTGCCGAGAGTGTTTGCAAAGCCAATGTCTGTCGCAAAGCTGTCCCCAAGGCCATCAAAAGCCGCCAAAGCGGGCCCTGACAACAGTTGTTCCTTCCCCTGATGCTGCCTGGCATCTATACCGCCTCCCGAAAAGTCAGGCGACCTGCACTGGAATGCCTCTGAGCCATACGCACTGTTAGACCGGAACACACGGCGTGCTTCGTGTTCGGGGTTAAGAGCATGCAACGAGCTTGGTCCAGGAGTTGGGCACTGCCAAGCTGGAGCCCCTGCTGGCTCCTGCAACATGCCGGCCATCTCGTCGAAGAAATCCGCCTGCAATACAACAGCACAAGCACCTCTGCATCTCATTCATGCCAATGTGCACACAACTCACCCTGCAGACTACAATAGTAACCTGGCCGCCCGTTACAAGTGATATTTATCATTTCAAGACGAATTCATTGCGACAGCACTCTTGCCGTAAGTGCACACAAGAAATAGTGCTGCACCCAACTCTCCATTGCAAAGTACTTCCCCCAGTCAATGTGGCGCAAGTGACTGGGTACAATATGTCAACATCGGCATAGGCATTCAGGAACTGCACTGCACCAGCACAAACCCCAGAGACAAGATTTTCTCACTGCTGGATACTTGTGCCCATAAAGCATACCTGGTCTGTAGGCATGGTAGGCAGTTGGGGGGTTGACGGCCCCAACTGGCATGCTGGCTGCCCCATTGACAGATCCGCTTCTCTTGCCAAGCCCGAGGCCGCGGGAGCAGAGAGACTGCCTAGAGCCTGCCTGTTTACAGCGTTCCAGCCCGGTGTGGGCTGGGGCAAGGCTGGTGCGGGCTGCGCCCCGCCGCCTTGCATCAGCCCCAGATGCAAACCTGCTAACGCATAACATCGAGGCTTCAGAGATTACTCAACGGGCAGTTGAGAGTGCCACAGCAGTTGACAATTCGCGTGCTGACTGCCACAGCAGGAATGTAAGAGTTGGATGTGACCAGCACTTGCTGTCCAGCCACGAGTTGCAGGGATAGGAGTTTTACCTGTGCAATTATGCCTCAAACCAGTTCTGGAACTTTCTGCGAGTCACCTACCACGAGCTCTCGAAAACGTGGGAAGAATGAGCAGAACTGAGCACAGGACTGTCGCAGGCTCATCCACCGGAAGGCAGACACATCAGGTGCAGCAGGCATACAATGCACAGGATTTGGGTTCGCTGGAAGGAAAATCCCCAGTGGGGCGGATCAGATGTGTGTTCCAATAACAGCATATGACCAAACAATCACAGAGACTGGTGCTTGTGATATGGTGGTGCTGTGTGTGTATAGGGAGGCCATTCAGGCATTGATACAGTGACAAAAGCTGCTGCCTATTGAACCTGAGACCTGGTGCTTTCCTGGAGTGCTGCAACCGCTGTCGCGATCATGTTCTATGAATTCAAACCTACTGGCTGTCCGCTGCAAAGCATATAGCACACTCATCATGGATAGGGGTCCTTCAATTCCTGCCAACATCAGATGCATGATGAAACACGCAAAGCACAAGTACAAACTACACAGCGTGGCTATGAATGGTCAGCGATGGGTGCAAGCCATTGTCTGCAAAATCGTTGAAACACACTTTACTCAACCCATGCTGAGTTGTTTGGACACCTCGATTTCTCAATGAGTAAGCTACTTGGGGACACAGTACATCGGCTCCCGTTGAGTGCCTTGTTCATTCATACATCTCCAGCAAGTTGACCAACATGATACAGAGTAGTTGAAGTGCCTTGCTACCTTGCAATGAACACTCATCAGCAGCTGACTTAACATTCCTCCCATTTTTTCCTTGGGAACATCGAGTCAACTCACAATTTGAGTCATCGACTTGTCACCATGGCAAACACGAGCCATGTACAGCCACACGCAAGTCCTCAACAAAATCCACACCCAACAACACTGCATTTACTGGGGATTCGAGCACACCGAAATCTTCCAAACCCACTGGGACTGATGGCTGTTGCTACAACAGTCAAATTACGCTGAGACAGCGCGACAGCCAAATTAAGGCATGCCATATAACAACACTCCAAAGGGGAGAAGAGAAGAGGGTTGTGGGTGGCTACAGGGCGTACTTGGAGTCGGACACACATTTTGGGACTGGAGAGGACGGTTTGGTCTCCTCGCATCTTACGCACAACAGCAACAAACACCACTGCACTACCATGCAAAGAAAGAACACAGTTTCCTAGAGCGCGCCTTGCTGAAGAATTCAGCATCTCAACTGCTTCTATTGAGAACTGTACAGTAAAATTGCAACCTTGGCACCGCTGCTAGGCTGCAAGCTTCCCTGCGCACATTTGACAATGGGCAATGTACAGGTCGTTGCAAGCTAGCCCATAACATCTAAAATGGGGACAGTTCTGGCAGCATTTTAACAGCCACAGTGCTCTGACCCAATCTGCTGTCTACAACAACGATACAATGACCATCGCCCACCTGCATTGAGGGAAAACACAAGGTTGTCACACTTCAGGTTGCCTGTAATCGCCTTCCGCACAAGCCACGCTGGTGGGGAGCCTTGATACCCCATTTGGTGCCAGGCCTTGCTGAGTTTGGAGATTTGCCTTGATGGCCAGCGTGAGATGCCATTCCTACGACATGCTCGCTTCAGGGTTGTCGGACAGATGCCCAGCTGTGCTGCAGCCTCCTTGAGACCAACACCAAAACATCCCTGCCAAAGCGCAAACGCAATCAATACAAGCAAGTACTCCACAACAGGGATTCACTCCTGGCTCCCCAGGCTCAAGCCTTGTAGATCATTCCCTCCAACACACAACAACACATATGAGTTCCTGTGCGCTGCGCAGGCAGTCACATTTCTCCCCACACAAGAGGAAGCTCAGTGCAATGGCACCAGCCTCTTTCCCAAACAATACGGGCAGCCACAAATCAAAGGAGGTTCACACCTGGAGGTCCTTGAAAGTAAGCCGCTTGCCTGCGCCCCCACCCAACCGGTTGTCGTTCTTCGTGGACTGACCAGAAGAATTTGCCCTCTCCAGCTGACCGCCCTCAGCATCAGTCTCCAGCTTCGAGTCCTTGCCGCTTTTGTCGTTGTCACCATCCTCACCATCAGAAACATCTGAGAAACAATCAGAGTCGCTCGAATACCGCTCTGGCTGTGCAGGCGCATCGATGCTGGGCAAGGGAGACGATGCTGGAGGAGGAATGTTGAGGGCCTCAAGACCGGTGGATGCCGGAAGAGGATCCATCACATTCCGGATGGGAGATGGGGCAGCTGGCTGGGACGCTGCAAGTGGGCCCGCAGTAAAGTCTGTTCCATGCAGACCCGCATTCTCAGGTGACCATTGTGGGCTGAGTACACCCTGTCTGCTGCCTGGCGGTGCACTGTAAAGGTTGCTGCAAGAACAGATACCATTATAATTCGTCAGCAAACAGGAACAAAACTTGCGGCTGGACAACAAAACCACTCTTAGGCAGAGCGAGCAGGCCAGCAACCCATCGACGCCCAAGCTTGCTGTTGGCCCACAGCGCAGGAATCCATGGTAGGGCAATGCTTCAATGTGATATCCTGCCAGTTGCCTAAATGCGCGATCAACAGGGACGTTGACAGCCAACCATTCCATCGAAACTCCATTGGGACACCTCTTCTGATGCACGTTACCTTGGACGCGTCAATGGCCCAGAACGACTCTTGCTCACAAAACCACTCCTGGGTGGAAGAAAGTGTCTCGATAGTGGTCCAGAGGCACTCCTAGACACAAAATCCCCCTTGGGGGGGATTCTGATGGCAGGAGCAGAGGCGACACCAGGCATCACAGGGCGCCCACGAGGCGGAAAACCCCTTGAAGGTGTCCAGCCTCCCATGAGTGGTGCGGGAGCAGTGGCTGCGACAGCATGCTTGTCCATATCTGCAGCATCAACCAAACTATACATCAAAATCCCTTGATACGACTCACCACAAGCCACCTCTCCAACTCCATATCTCTTGTCTGAGCACAACCAAGCTTGCCCCCTCCCCACGACAAGGAGGAATGTTTTGACCACTAGCCAATCGCCTGTTTCTAGGCAGCCCCGCACATAACCAATGAATGCATGTTCACAGTAGTGTTCCATGCGATGCTGTGGTCCTGGTACAAGTCTCTGCTGTGTTCAGATCAACTAACAGCATCAAACTTTTCCAGTGCTATACAAGCCTTTGCAATACCTGACAATAAAAACACCAAACCTCTGTGTCATAAGACCACACAACCAGGTGCACATAAGCTGCAGAGTCCAAGTTGCAGCACATGAAATGATGTTCAAAGATCATAAATGCACTGGGGATCAAAAAGTGAGCGACCTCCCAAGACGCTTCTCTGCACTGCAAGGATGGAACTCCAAGTTCCCGCAGCAAAAACAAAAGGTGGCAACGACAGGAACAGGAACAAGGAAAGGCAGCCAACAGTGACAGCAAGAGTGGAAGCAGCAAGAAACCTGCACACTTGAGAAACAGCAAAGCTGGTAGCCTGCACAGCCCACTCTGCTAGGCTGACTAACAGCAAAACGCTGTGCATGGTCTGCAACCAACAGCAGCCTCTCCTGGCCCAAAACAGAAGCCACAGGCGTTCTCAGGCGGGGCAGGTTCTAGAATGCAGCAAGACTCGTGGATCTGACGCACAAACCCTGGAGGACTGACATTGAATGCAGGGAGCGGTGTCTCGCTATCTCCGGTGCTGCCCACCTGTGGGCACCGTCTCCTGCGGGCTGCCTGTAGGAGCCCACACCAGCGGGTTGTAGCCTGGGGGCGTGGCCTCACACTCTCTGCCGAACTCCGTCTCCGCCTTGATCACCGGCTCCCCCGCGATCTGCGCCATGTCCACCGCCCAGTTGCGCAGGCCGAAGCTCACGCTGTTGATGTCGATGTCCGCCATGTACAGCTGCACGCTCTGCGCACAGGGACCCCCACGCACACCGCACCCTGACTACCAATGCATGACACGACCTAACAAAATGCGGCCAAAGCCGCCAGGGTCACGCGATACCCGGGAAACCCCGATCGAAGCCCCACCACCGCGGGATGACTGCGCAAGGGCCTTATTATGCGATGGCCCTCCTGCGCCCCACCGCCGACATCGTCCCAGCCGCCGGGGTCGGCGCGGCCGACGCGCCGCCGATTCGTGCCGCGGGTAGCTCTCATTGCGACCCCACCCGCGGGGGCACCCACCTCCAGGCACGTGGACAACCGGTTGATGATCTCCGGGAACTTGACGTCCTTGTCGTGGTGAGAGACCTCCACCACGGACACCGCCCGCTCGCGCTCCGCGGACAGGTAGACGGGGGTGACGAGCGTGGAGTGCACGCGGCAGCGCTGAGCCTCGCTGGCGCGCAGGTACACGCTGGGGTCGTAGCGCTGCACGTCGTAGCACAGCTCCGGCTGCAGGGACGCACAACACGGGCCACGGGGCGCGTCAGCATCTGCACTTCACGGGCGGCGGGAGGCTGGGGCGGGCGGGCGCGCGCGGCGTTTTTTGGTCCAGCATCGCTACGTGGCCGACCGAGCGGGCCAGTGCTCGAGGATCCGTGGACATCCGCGCTGGCCCCAGTGGTGCAACACGGGGGTTTGGAGGGGAAGGGAGGGGGGGGGAGAGAGCGGGGGCAATGCGCGCTCGAACGTGTGGCCCGGGGACGGCGGGGGGGAGGGAGGGGTTTTGTCGGGCGGTGGGGCCCCACCTGTCCGCTGGAGTACACGCGGCCGATCACGCCCATTAGGTGCGGCTTGGAGATGTCCGTGGTGAAGCGGTAGCGGCATGAGACGCAGCGGAAGAGCGCCAGCAGGTCCCCCACGCCGGAAATGGAGAACGGCAGTCCCTGGGCGCACGCGCACAGGGGGATCAATACGGGGGACGGCCGATCGGCGGGGGTTCAACCCTGCAGGAGGACGATCGGGCCGGCGGTCTGGGCCGGGGCGGCGATCCAGCCCCGGGGACGCGGGCTCCTGGGCGGGTCCGGCCGTCAGAGTCAGTTGCGCACCTTGGTCTGCAGGACCATGTTCCCGTCGCGGCACATCTCGGGCATCCAGACCTGCGCCAGGGCATCGACAAACCGGGGCCCGGTTCAGTGAGTTTGACGGGCGGGGGGATCCTGCGTGGCCGCCGTGGGGCGTTGCCCCCCGGCCGCGGGCCCGACCGGGGGTTGTGCGCTTCCCGCGCACCTGCACCAGGGCGCCCGTCCTGCATCCCGACAGCTCGGCGTTGAAGTTCATTATGGCGGTGGAGAACCGGTGGTTCAGGTCGTTGGACAGGCCGTTGTTGGGCGGCGTCCACCCCCCCATTTTGTCAGACCCCTGAACGTCCATGCCTCAGCGCGCTCCAACTCAAGCCCCGCACCGCCGAAAACGGCCGCCGTTCCGCTCAGCGCGCCCGCACCGGCGGCGACGACCGGGCAACGGCTGCCCACGGCGACGGGCGACGGGGGCAGGACCACAGACCCCGCCCCAAGCGGCACAACGCGAATGCCCGTCAGCGGGCGAGGGGAGGGCCGGGTCGGCGGCGGCCTGCCCGGCGCTCCGCGCGACGACGCTTGCCCCCGCTGGGGTGACCGGGGGCGGGCAGCCGCGGCGCCGACGGGATTGCCGTGCCCCCCGCTGACCAGCACACACCGCGCGCGACCCAGTATGCTGGTCAGCGGTTTCTTTTTTGGGTGGCTGAGCTCACCCCACTCCCAGCCGCAGCCAATAGCGGACGAGTACTGACCCGGCCACCCCGCGCTCGCTGATGTGGGTATGGAGTGTGCCAGACAGACACCCGGGTCATTCGGACATAATGGTTCGTCAACACGTCAGGGCGGCCTCTGCATGAGGGGGAAGTCCTCTGTGGTTGGGCAGTTGACTTGGCGGCAGTGCGGACAAACCCCCAAGCGTGAATGCCCCCCGACGCTCCGTTTCGGCTCACGGGGTGCTTGGACTGCCCCGTGGGACAGTGCGGACAAAAATCCGCGTGACCACGGCCCGCGCGTTCGCTGCGGCCCCCAACCTGCCAGGACTGCCCATGTCGAGGCGTGGGCCCCTGTGCACCGAAGCGCGCCTTTTTCGCGATTGCCGAGGCTCTATTTACAGCGAGACCAGATTGTACAGTGAAGCGTTGAGCTATGGCGGAAAGTGGGTGTGGGTTGAGGTGTGCGGGCCTCAGGGGATGGATGTGAGGGCCTCAGGGATGCCAGAAACTGCGGTTCTTTGACTCTCTGAAGGCTTGCTTGGCTGGTCTGAATGGGGGAGAATTTTGTTCTTGTCACTGGTGAGGTTGTTCTTGGGCAAGAGCATGCTGACATTGTCTGCGGACTATTGGCCGCATACCCTACATTGACAAGGAATTTCTGTGTTCCTGCATCTTTGGGAGACAGGTTGAGCCACAGAGACCCGGAATATGCTCCTCAAGGCATATTGTACTGCAAGATCTAGTGAGAGCAGGGATGGCTCTCTTCTTTTGTTTTGCAACCAACACCTGAACCCCGTAGCACTGTATGTGCAAGCTGTTGCCTACATGGAAACCATAAGAGTCTGCAGGCCAGACACAAGCGTAGCTGCACCGTTTTGCAAATGTAGGGACACCATGTGACAAGCCTTCACGAATGGGAGCAACCTGCCTACAAAGCAGCATCTGATCAGATACCCCAATAGCGGAGTCCCTTGCTGTCTTTACTTGATTTTTTCAAGTTCTTTATGCTCTTGTGAGCATGGTATGGAATGGTGCAATGAAACGCGATTGTGCAAGGTGAAGAAGCGCAATTTACTACATGAAAATCAGAGTATCTGAAGTAGCCACTGGTTTGTTGGGCAGTAAAGGCTATTAATATGATTGCCTGTTCCCCGAATGCAGGAGTGGTCCATGGTGAGTTTCGAGTGTTGTTGTGGCAGTTTGTCTTTCTCTCTACGTTTCTGTGTGCAGCAAATGTAAGAATATGGACTATCTACTTGAGGCATTGTGGCAGGGGCATAGTTGCTTTCAGCTGGGACGCCCACACAATACCTCGATGTCACGAGAAATTTCTTTCGGACCATAACAGTAATGTTTGAAGTAACTTCATACAGCTTCATCACATATCTTCGTTGTTAATGAACGAAATTCATGGCTTGTGACAGTGTCAATAATCACCATACATTCCATTGGAAAGCCCACTTTCGGCCCCTTGCCAGTGTTAGCTGGCAGGTGAAATGGTAAACGTCTGCTGTTTGTGCAGACGACAAGTACGCCTGTTGCCTCGGTGTTACTGCTGCAGTCACTGCTACAACAGGAGACACTGAAGCATTTCTTTTGGCTGAAAATGTGTTCAGCCACAACGTTTCTGCGACTGGGTTGGTTGTCGGTGAGGCAGCCATCTTTGTCATATACGAGTCATTTAATACGCAATTGTTCTACAAGTGCGCAAGCAGTCGTTTGTGCACAAGTTACACCTTGGCTCCATGCATCAACAAGGTTTGGCGATGGACGCGCTCCATGGTGCGGCAGCTGTGCAGGTGAAGAAAGCAACACAACGGGACAATAGCCTGCATCAATGGAGTGTGACTGCTGCTCAATGTGTGCTGCAGCGCACACAACGCAGGATAAGGCTCTGCTGTATCACTTAGCAAGTTGCGCCAACCTGCAGACTGTCGTGAACTTGAGAGGAAATAAAAACCCATCGGACCAAAGGACCGAGGATAATTCCAGGATGTGAACGATCGGAACGAATATAACACAGAAAAACATACAGAGCGAGAGAACAAACTCATTGGCGCCCACCAGCATTAACGGACTTCAACACACCATGAAGTATGCATAATCCGGATGAATTCGTAAAACATCGCCAATGGCGTCAATATCTCTATGCGATGTTCTACACTTGAAGTGGCGATGTTGATGTAGTAATCACCATTGCGGAGATTCCAAGTGACTCGTGTCTACGCCAATGTGTGTAGTACTAGCTCCTGTATGAGGCAATGCACCATTCAGCGGTGCCTAACTGTGCACCGTCCGAGGCAACAAACGTGATTTCATTTCTGTTTCAATGTCCGTCCAAAGGGACAAACACACACCGTACCACAACCAAAGACCCTCTTCAAGCACTTGCATCGACGGCCAGTGCCGTGGCTGTCTCGTGACCCACTGCCCCGCAGTCAGTTCACTGCTAAACCTTAGTTGATCTCCTCAGCAAAACCCTGCCGCTGAAAGAACTAAGACGATCACCCGCATGTCGGCCATTTTAAATGGCAGCAATATGGGAGCGGTGTTGGCTTTTTGCTGAAATTGCAGTTTGGGTTAAGCACAATCGAGAGTAAAATACTGACAGACTAATTACAAACTCACAGACCAACTACAAACGAAAACCGACACGTGTTATTAATTGCTGAAGAGGAAATACTGTATTTGCTCGGTATTAGTAGGCACCCCCTATATCCAAAACCCCCTCTTGGGGGTCGAAACCATGTTAATTTTCATGACCCGGTGTTAGTATCCGCCCCCAAATCTCAACAGAAACGAGTTCGAGAGGGCTCGTTGGATTCGTCTTGGGGAGAGAAAGCTAGTTTGCATGTCTTTTGCACAGCACTGTTGTTGCACATTGAGGTCGTGCAACAACTGCCAAAAGCTGCTTATCTTGAAGTGCGATGCACATGATGGCTGCAAGCCTCCCAGTAGGAGCAGCTAATCTCGTGGGGAAAAATTTTGTTTGCTCGTCGAGCAACTGCAGGCCAGGCGTCTACGGCACTGTTGTGGGCCTAGAGTTCCCAATAGACCTGGCGGCCTTGCTTGTTTCTGTAACAGTGCTCAGCATGGCACTCGCCTCTGCAGTAGCCACACTGGATCCTGTGGCACCCGGTTACACACCAACTATTGAAAAGTGCATCCAACTACTTCACCTACGCGCAACGTAGCCTGTCCTCCACATACGCACATACCTGCCATGTGCCATGGGGTCTCCTTCGACCTTTGCTGGCCGTTGGGGGAACATGATGGCAGTTGTTGGTAGTGCTAGGTTGTGCCTAGTGACATGATGCCACGCGACTAGCCGTCACCCCTGGAAACTTCTCACAGCTAGTCTCCACACACTCTGCACCGAGCTTGCCCAAGCTTGCTATTAGCTTGACCAGAGGCATATCAACTGGACCGCATGGTAGGGCCACCGTCCACTTGAACATGCTGGCATCTCCTGTCATTAACTTGTGATGAGCGGGGAAGGTGTTGATGAGGATTTTGATAGCTTTGCATTAGATCTGGATTCAGACAACGATTGATTGTGAATGCGTTTCTGTGCTTCTGTTTGGGATTTTGTGGTGGCAACAACATTGTCGCTGACAATATAGAGTTGTCAATAATGTGTGTTTGTGATTTTTAACTTCGATTTGGTGATGTCGCCACTTGTGCATCGCATCTTGCATTATTTCAGAAACAATTCTGAGCATTTCAATGGCTATTTTAAATTTCCTTAGTATCCATGACCCATTATTAGTATCCACTGCTCATTTTGAGAGTCCAATACACGCCTACTAATACTGGCTAAATACAGTACATGTCACTTATTATTGGAATACTCTATACGGTAGGTCCCTATATAATGCCCCCCCAAGTGACATGGCCAACAAGGGGGCACTATTGGGGGCCGTGGGCGCTATTGTGTTAAGGGGGTTACACTAAACAACCTATGTAAAGGGTATCTTGGCCACTGATGTAGGGGGTGCCTTGGCCGCCGGTGCAGGGGATACACTGCACTCAGCCTACTAGGCCCATACTGGCTTTTGGTGCCAGCGACTTATTTGCAGCGCCAAAGTCACTGGAGATGGGCCCCATCGTAGTGAAACAAAGTACTACGGGAATGGTGACAAGCCGTTCAAGGAGTCGCTACCCCCACCCACCCACTAGTTTGAGGTCCCACTGTGCAACAAGGCTGCATAAAATACTACAAAAATGTGACAAGGTAAAAAAGGAGGGGGGGGTGGAGGGGCTGCATATATAGGGAACCTTGCTGTAACATAGTGTGAAAGAAGTACGTGTAATCTGTGGATATTGCTAATTGGATTGCAGTCGAATGTCTCCCTTATCGGTCTTGAGAATTGCGCCATATGAGCAAACGTTCAATTCATGGGTTTAGTGCTGGACGCAGATATGAAGACAAAAGCACAATGGCAAGGCCACGTCATGGCGTGGGCTAGTTCTAGGGCTTGCCAGCAGGCAGTGGCAGGCAGCGTGGATAGGCACCCGGAGATCCACTACACAGCGGCAGTGCAAAGCACATGCGCTAACCATTGGCGCCATGGGTGCAATGAGTTGGCCAGAAAGAGACCGTGCTTCTATCTAAAGGTCGATGTACCGCCTTCTTGTGATG